TTAGTGTCCCAGAAGGCTGGTGACATCCAGGACGAATAGAGGCCCCCTCTCCAGAAAACTAGCTCTCTCCCAGAACCAAGCCTGGCCTGTTCTCTAAAACCTCTGGGATAATGCTCTAGTAAATAAATATGCTGTAACACAATGAACATCAGAAATTTCAAATGCTCTGAGGACATACCCAAGAATAATCAAACAACTGAGAAAAGCAAACAAAAGGTGGCTCATTCAACAAAGAAGAATTTACATTTGTGTGAAACAGAATTACTAAGCCAGTGGTTCTCAGAGTGTGATGGCTAGACGAGCAGCATCAGCATCATTTGGAAAACTGTTAGAAATGCAAATTCTCAGGCTCCACCCAGAGCTACTGAATGAGAAATTCTGGGGTGGAGCATGGATTCTATAGATTTACAAGTTCTTCTGGTATTTCCGATAAATGTTAAAGTTTTTGAACCACTGTGCTAGAATAAAACAAAACACAACAAAACAAAAAATAGGACCAAACTAGACAGAGTCAGAGAGAAAGGAAAAGCTATCGAATCTATATAAAAGAACCAACAAAGGCTGTGACAATATTTTTTTTTAAATATAGAAAAATAAAACATAATGTGTTTAGCTTGGGTGCTATTAAATTTGTTAAACTTATTAAAGACATTAAAACACAGTTGTTTAAACAATGTAGAAGTTTTTTCCTTCTCATATCATGATCCAGGGATGGGCAAGCAGTTTAGGACTGGTAGGAAGCTCTACCATATTTAACAAATAGCTTCCCATGTGTGTCCTGAGTGGCTGGTCTATTTCTCATCACCTTCTAGCCAGTAAAAAGGGGGAAAAGAACAAAAGAACTGCAATCTAGTCACTTAAGAGCAATATCCAGCAGTAGCACACATCATTTCCCCTCACACTTCATTTTCCATGCCTTCAAGTCAGTTACTTGGTTCACCGATATATGAAAGAGTTAATGAAATGTGGTCTTCAGTGACAACCATAAGCCCAGCTAAAGCTTTACAACAATGGGGAGAATGGATATTGGCCAAGAACCGGTAGTTTATTGTAAGCTGAACTGCAAAATGTGCAGTGCTTATGAGGGAATGAGTGAGCAAGAAACTTAGGCAAGAAAATCTTTTATAATGCAGGGTAAAGGGTTATAAAAATTACAAAGAATGAAGGAATATTAAAAAACATGGAAGATAAATACAAACATTCCAAAAACATATGATGTTAAGTCCTAGACAGAAGGAAAATGGTTGATTAAAGAAATTACTCAAAATATAGAAGATGAATAGACCTAGAGGATACTATGCTAAGTGAAATAAGTTAGAGAAAGACAAATATCATATAATTTCACTTACATGTGGAATCTAAAAATAAGACAAAACAAAACAGACTCATAAATAACAAAGAATAAACTGATGGGGTATGGAAATGAGTGAAAAAGGTAAAGGAGGAATAAAAGGTACAAACTTCCAGTTATAAAATAAATAAGCCATGGGGATGTAATGTACAGCACAGGGAACATAGTCAATAATATCATAATGACTTTGCGGAGTGACAGATGGTTACTAGACTTATCATAAGTGATCATCACACTGTAAGATATATAAATTTTGAATCACTATGTTGTACATTCCAAACTAATATACTGTATTTCAACTATACTTCAATAAAAAAATTTTTAATAGAAGAACATTTCCAAAATTAAAGAAGACATGGGCTCTCAGATAGAAAGGGGCCAGCACCAAGTGTCAAGCACATCGCAGTAAGATTACTAAGGATAAAGTGAAAATCCTAAAAGCTTCCAGAAAGAGTACAAAAAACTGAGAATCCGATTAACATCAGACTTCTAATCAAATACAGCTTGAAGTTATAAAAGAAAATAAGTTTGAACCTAATCTATACCCACTCAAACTAGAACACAAGAATGAGTTCATTCCATAGCAATCAGATGGTTTACCTCCCATGCATACTCTGAAATAATTACTAGAGAATGCTTACCAGCAAGAACAATAATTTAAAGGGGAAAAATTAAAGAAGTGAACAAAAACTTCCAAAAACTGACTAAGTTAAATATATCTTACTTGAAAAAATTCACATATAGTATATATTCACATATATAAAACCAATAATCTGAGTTAGAATAATATATATTTATATAAAATTATATTCTAGATCAAATTCCCAGTGGATAGGAGTAATAAAAAAAGGAGAAGAAGGAAATGAAGAAAGGCCTGCTAAGGTCCTTGACTTGTTAATAGAAAAGATATAGAGCCTGAGTAAATAGGCACTTAGTATTAAAAATTTAGGTACATTAAAAATTTTTATGAGTAACCACTAAAAAAAAGAGAAAAAGTACCTGCTTCTGAACTATAAAACAAAAAAAAAGAAAAAAGAAAAATTTAGTCAAACCAACAAAAAGAAGGAAAGGTTAGTAAAAGAATAAGCAAATAATAAGAATGAATAATAAATGAATAATAATAAATGAATAATAAATGAAAAAACAAAATGAGATGACAGGTGCTCAAAAATATCAGTAGTCACACATAACATAATCTTGTTTAAGACAGGAAATATTTTAAATAAATATTAATCATTGAACTCAAGAAGCTCAAGCATAAAAGAAACATAATACCAGTAGAAAGGAATCAATGAAGATAAAAAGAACTTATTAAATGGAAATTACTCCTTATACTGGCTTTTAACCAATCCATGTCTACAGCTCACCTCTCACTTTCATCTCCCACAAAACCTCCAACTCACTTTCCAAGATTCTATGAGGTAAATCAATTTGGTTTTTAACGTCATGCCCCTTGGCAAGTATTTTGATTTTCATGTCCTCTGCTCAAGGAAATCAAGTTAACACTTCTCTATCTGCTTTATAACTTTAAAGAAATTGACTGACATTTACGCTTCTCTCTTACATGTTCCTAGTTCTTATAAGTTTATACTTTTTTTAATTCCTTTAATATCATTTTATTGAAGCTTGGAAAGCATTGTAGAGACTTTCATTTCTCTACCTAATTATCTATTCTCTCCTACTTCCTCACTAAGCAAACCTCTATCTTATTAAGGAGCAACAACATAAAACTTTAAACATGTATTTTTACCACACACTCGCAGCGGGATAAGTCATGTGACACAGTTCAAGTCAATGAGATGTGAATAGAAGTCACTAGAAGGGGTTTTCAAGTTCAAGTCAATGAGATGTGAATAGAAGTCACTAGGAGGGGTTTTCAGGGAAAACACCTGAAGGTGGCATACATGGGACATGCTCCTTTGACTTCTCCCTTCTTCCTACATGAGATGCAGACGTTATGCTAAAGGCTATTTAACCATTTTATCATCAAATGATAACAAGTTCATGATAAGATTAATGGAATGAAAGGGTAAAAGGAGCTTAGGTTCCTAATGAGATCACAGAGCCTCCATCCAACCCCTGTACAGTAATAAAGTAAAAATCAGTTTGGACTGAGAAAATAAAAATCTATCAGGCTAGAACAACAGGCACTAACAAAGTCAGCTACAAAGTTAACAGGAAACAAACAAAATGAATTTGCCTGAACTTTGAACGTGTCTTCCAATCCACATATGGATCCATTAGCAAAGAGTGGAAGTTTACTGGCTCGAGGAATTTGAGCAGAACTTCTGATCCATCACTGTCTGACCATTAAGTTATGCTAATTAGGGGCAACACTTAGGAAACCAAACTCACACACAAAAAAGAAAACAACAATCAAAAAATTTAAAAATAAGCAGAGACTTAAGTGGCTACATACTGTAAAAGAGACGGACTCTAAAGCAGGGTTTCTCTGCAATGGCACTATTGATATTTTGGACCAGATAATTCTTTGTTGCAGTGGGGGAGGTGGTTCCTATGCATTATAGGATACAGAAGACAGCATTCCTGTCATCTACCACAAGACAACAATAGCGCCACTCCTCAAGTTACCAAATCAAAAATGTCTCTGGACAATGCAAATGTGCCCTTGGGGGCAAAATCACTACCAGTTGAGAACCACTGCTCTAATTAATTAATCCAAGGAAGTCACTAAACAAATACACAAACATAAAATAGATATAATACCAATCCTTGGAGTGAATGGGGACAGGATAAGTATAAACATATAAGAACTAGAAACATGTAAGAGAGAAGAGTAAATGTCAGTCAATTTCTTTAAAGTTATAAAGCAGATGGATAAGTGTTAACTTGATTTCCTTGAGCAGCGGTTGTGAAAATCAAAAGGCGCAAAATAAAGAGTTACCACAATATACTATCTAAAATGTTTGATTTTCAACAACAAAATTATCAGACATGCAAAGAAAGAAGACAGCATAACCAATATAGGAAGAAAAATAAAAGAGAATAGAAACTGCCTCTGAGGGGTCCCAGATATTGGACTTACCAAAGATGCAATGAACTAAAAGAAACAATATGTAAGAGTTAAAGTAAGATGACAATGATTCATCAAATAGTATCAATAAAGAGACAGAGATGATAAAAGGAGAACAAAATGGAAATTTGGGGATTTAATAGTAGAAACTGAAATGAAAAATCACTAGACAGGCTCAACGGCAGATGTGGACTGGCAAAAGAAAAAATGATAGGTGATAGATCATTAGAAATTTTCCACTCTGAAGAAGAGGAAGAAAAAAGCACATAAATGAACAGACTCAAAGACTTTCATCACACCATCAAGCAAACAAGCACACATAACAAACACTAAACAGAGTTCTTCAGACTGAAAAAAAATGACACTAGATGTTCATTTTAATCCAAATGAGGAAATAAACAGCACCAGAAAATCTAATTACGTAGGAAAATATAAAGACTATATTTTCCTTTTCTACTCTTAATTTATTTAAAAGACAATTGCATAAAACAATAATTATAAAAGGAATTATAGGGCTTAGAACATAGAATATACAAATTTCTATGGCAATGAGCACAAAGGAGGAAGGATGAAATTGGAGTTCTATTGGGGCAAGATTTCAATAATTGGTGGCTTTCAGTTAGCATAACTGTAAAGTATATTATAAATTGAGATGTATATTGTAATCCCTAGATTATACTTAGAGCAACCACTTAGGAAATGACTCAAAAATAATTTTAAAAAATAAAGCAACAATAAAAAAGACAACCCAATTAAAAATGGACAAAGGATCTAAAACTACATTTCTCCTAAGAATATATATTAGTTGCCAATAAGCACATGTAGAGATTTTCAATATCATTAGCCATTAGGGTACATAAATCAAAACCACAATGAGATGCCGCTGCCTCACACTCACTAGGCTGACTATAATCAAAAAGACAATAATGAGTGTTGTTGAGGATGTGGAGAAATTAGAATCCTCACATGCTAGTGGGACATAAAATAGTGCAGTTGCTTTGGAAAACAGTCTGGCAGTTCTTCAGAAAGGTTAAACATAGGCTTACCATATGATCTGGTAAGGCATATGATCTCCTGGGCATATACCCAAGAGAAATGAAAACATAGGTCCACATAAAAATGAGTACACAAATTTTTATAGTAGCTTTATTCTTAATAGCTAATAAGTGGAAACAGCCCAAATGTACATCAACCGATAAATGGACAAACTATAGTACATACATACATTGGCATATATACAATAGGTATATACAATTGAGTATATACAATATTATTCTGCAACACAAAAGAAGGAAATATTGCTACATGTTACAATATGGATAAGCCTTGAAAACATTATACTAAGTAAAAGAAGTCAGTACATAACAAAAGACTACATACTGTATGATTTCGTGTATATAAAATGAATAGGCAAATCAGTAGAGGCAGAAAGTAGATTAGTGGTTGTCTAAGACAGAAAGGATTGACAGAAATAGGGAGTGACTGCTACTGGGTGCAGAATTTCTTTCTGGGATGATGATAATGTTCTCAAATTGTGATAATGGTTGCATAACTCTATATAGTAAAACTCCTTGAATTGCACACTTTTAAAAAAGTATACACTGCACTGAAAATAAAGGTTTTCAGTTGAAAAAGTAACAACAAAAGAATTAAAATGGCACACTAGAAAATATTTAACATAAAAGGCAGTAAAAAAACAGAGGAACAAGAAGAGACACACACATACAGAAAAGGATAGCAAAATGGCTGAACCTTATCAATAATCATATTAAATATAAATGTATCTAACACTCTGGTCAAAAGGCAGAGTTTGTTAGACTGGATAATAAGACAAGATCCAATTATATTCTATCCACAAGAGATACACACTAGATTCAAAGTCTCAAATAGGTTGAAAGTAAAAGGATAGAAAAAGATAGACCACGCAAACAAAAACAGAAGAGTTGGTGTGGCTATATTAGTATCAGAGAAAACAGACTTTAATCACCTTTTGGTTTCAATTAGTCTGGAGACCTCCCTAGGTGATTCTACTGCCACAAGTATTAAGGCCAAGAGACAGAGTGGTTAAGGCCAAGAGATAGAGAGGACAAAGCAAATAATGGCCAAAGGTAACACATAAAGCTTCTGGGATTCCCTGTGAGAAAGGACAGGACTAGGAGCATTAGGATTCTGGTTCCTTAAAGTGGGGGGCATTGGAGACAGACTGCTTCCACTATTAATAAAATGTGACTTACACTGACAAAGACTCTCTCCTTGACCAAACTCTAAGCAGGCTTCTCTGAACTCTTTTTCAACTACACCTCGACATTTGGTTTTCTGTGCTCCTCTTCGCATTGTTCAGCTTGGGTAAGAATCCTGCTAACCCAGTTTAATTAAACTCTCCAACCTCAATATCTGATCACCCTTAATATTCGATCAGGTTCCTCAACTTCCACCATTCCCCCAGATAATGCCTATACCCTGGCTGCCTTCAGTAAAAATCTTGTTATGTTTGTTTAGCCAGAATCCCTCTTTACCCCTGATGTTTTCTCTTAGTAATTTTCCATCCACTGACTCCCACCCTGCTTTGGCTATAAATTCCCACTTTTCCTTCTGTACTCTGAGTTGAGCCCAATCTCACTCCCCTACCACAAAACTCCATTGCAGCAGCCCCTCTTGAATCGTCTGCCTTACCATTTTTAACAAGTGTTATAAATAGTTTTTTTAACAACATTCATGTGGGTTATACCTCAAGCTAGTGTGGCTTAGGGAAACATACATAGATATACACAGAACTGACTCAGATATTTAATTATTATTACACCCATAATAAAAATTATCTTACCGCCGCTAATCTTTGAGCATGGTATTCCGCTGCTGTAAAATATCTTCCTGGTATTATCAGTTTATCAGTCATATTTGATACATACACACCAATTTTAGTCATCTGTGTAGATGTTGTATTTGTAGTCTGTTGAAGTTTTTTCCTCTGAAAAACTGTCTAAAATAAAAATAAAAAGAACAAATATCTACTATATACATATAAGTGGGTAAAGAGTATATTTTCCTATACATTTAAGTTAATTTTCTTTTATTATTTTAATAGCCAAATAATTCCTTAGAAGATTTATACTTTAGAGAGGTGTACAGCATAACATTTGCTGATTCCATAGCTTCAAACACCCATATTAAAAGATAAAAATATTACCTGGGTATCCCTACAAAACATATTGTTTCTTCCGAGAATTTTTTTAGGTACAGTTTGTGTTCCAGCATTGTGATATTCTATTCCTGTTACTTTATGTCTGAATCCACCAAGAAATGGTTTGTGAAAGTCGGATTTTATAACCTCAACAGCTACCTGCTGGTACTGATCAATGCCTGAGGAGACAAAACCAACAGTGAATGGAAGCTCAACTACGAAATGCCTCTAAAATACTTTAACTAAAAAACACTGAATAACTAACCAGTTTCTACTCTCACAGTTAAGACTTGAGAGGCATCACTTAATCTACCTATTCTTCTGACTGGATATAGATCTGGAAGTGAAGAGAAGATTTCCACTTGTACGACATCCTGCGGCTTAACTCCATGTTGTAGGAGAGTCTCATTATTTTTAGAAAGTATTCCTAAAATGAGATAAAATTATAAAAAGTGTTGTGACAAAGAAATGACTATATGTACTCATTTTAAGGGGATGGAAAACATCAAAGGTGCTTACATAAAAACGCTGTTCAATTTTCAAATATTGATTGGTATCAAATACCAAGTATCGATGGAGTCCAGTGCTTGTTGTTAACGTTAGTAAGCTCCATAGTGGGAGAAGTTAAGGTGGTACTCCTGAGCAAGACACCAGCATTACAAGTAAAGCTACAACTCTCAACTCATCAGAAATGCAAATACCTAAGAACCATGCAACTCTATTAACATTTAAGAATTAAAAATATTCTATAATATGAGCAAATTATATTCTAAATGCCAACTCTCTAAAAAATGACGTTATACATGTAAGCACAGGACATATCTGTATCAGGGAAAACCTGATTATTTTAATACCCACCCCTCTCTCCAGCAGAAAGTTTTTATACTCAGAATTCCAAAGAATCCCTTCCTTTCTGTTTCTATAGTCAGAAATTCATATAAATTAATTCATGCCAAGGTGGAGTTAAGTCTCAGTTTTGTGCTAGAAAAAGTGTCCATCACTTTATTTTTGTGTTGTGTTGCTTCAAGTTCCACCCCCTTGCCATTGGCTTGTTCTATAAATTGACTCTAATTTTATTTCTCTACTTTAAGGCTTACAAAAATATATGTGTTACTGACCACTGTTTGTGACATGGGAACTTTATTGATAGAATCTATATCAACCTTCTGATGTATGTCTTCCTAAATTACAATTAGGTATTGGAACATAGCAAAGGTTTTGTTATATTCATTCTTAGAAATGTGTCAGGTACCACTAGTATTTTTTTTAGCTATGTTCAAGAAAACACAAAGATCTTGGAGTTTCAATTTCACACCCTAAATTCTTTTATTTTTCTGTTTTGTTCATTTATTTTGTTCTTTAGATTCCATATATATGTGAGATCATATGGCATTTGTCTTTCTCTAATTTATTTCACTTATCGTAATATCCTCCAGGTCCGTCCATGTTCATATCCTACATTCTTTTTAGCTATGTTCAAGAAAACACAAAGATCTTGGAGTTTTAATTTCACACCCTAAATTCTTTTATTTTTCTGTTTTGTTCATTTATTTTGTTCTTTAGATTCCATATATATGTGAGATCATATGGTATTTGTCTTTCTCTAATTTATTTCACTTATCATAATATCCTGCAGGTCCGTCCACGTTCATATCCTACATTCCTAACTTTAAAAAATAACATGTTATATGGGTTTTGTGATAGGCTGAAATAATCGCCCCAAAATATGTTCATGTCCTAATCCCCAGAACCTATGAATGTTATCTAATATGGCAAAAGTGACCGTAGATTTTAGTAAGGATTTTGAGATGGAGAGAGTATCTTGTATTACCCAGGTGGGCCCTAACTATAATCACAAGTGCCCTTATAAGAGAAAGGAAGAGGGATATTTGACTACAGAGGAGAAGATATGACAGAAGCACGGATATGAAGATGGAGGAAGGATCCACAAGCCAACAAATGCAAAGACCGCAACTCTGGAAGCTAGCAAAAGCAAGGAAGCAGATTCTTCCCAGAATCTTCAGAAGAACAGCCCTTCTGACACCTTGACTTTGCTCGAGTGAAACTGACTTAGGATTTCTGGCCTCCAGAAATGTAAGAAGTAATATGTTGTTTTAAGCTACTAAATGTGTGGTTAATTGTTACAACAGCCATAAGAACCGAACACAGATTCCCAGAGCCCTCTTCATTCCTCTACTTGTTTCTCTAGTAGGCTTAGTCTCACCAAACTTGAACTCCAGTTCTAATACCAGAAGAAATCACCTATCCTAGAGAGTGGTGGACAAAGAATCCAGCTTTTTTATCATTGCTACTGACATAAGCCTGTTACCCAGTGGTGATGCCTTGTACTTACACACAAAGAAGAAAGATTATGAAGTACAAAGAGATTCTCAGGTACCACTGACAAGCTACTCCAGTCGTAACGTGTTCTCTCTTCTCCAGTTTTGAACTTCGCCTTCCAGTTAATGCCAAGCAGTCTCACATTCCCTTCTTGAAGTCACACCTATATTTAAGTTCAGACTCTGCCACTCAGTAGCTATGTGAATTTGCACAAGTTCCCTGCGCTTTGGTTTCCTTCTCTCAAAAAAAGTTCCTAAAAATAGTATCTACCTCAAAAGGTTGTTATATGGATTGAATAACGTGATAATGCAGGCAGAACATTTTGTAGGACTAGCACACAGTAAATGCTCAATAAGTTATCATTATTACTATTTAAATTTCAGCTTTGTTTCCCTAACCAAGATTTAATAATAAGTTGTTTGAGTACACAAACATTATTAGAGCATATTCATTACAGTAGTTTTCAGAAAATAATTTTGAAACTGAACTGCTTGTTTTTCTCTGATTTGGCAAGGAGGAGGAACTCGGTAGGTGTGGCTTGCTATTTTTTACAGCTTAGGATTTCCCCATACCAAAAAAAATGTTATTTCCCTGGAAACTTTCTGTGGCACCTTTATAAATTTAATATCAGAGCTTCTTAAACTAAAATATTAGCATTTGTGCAAACATATTCGATAGAATTTTATTTAGCTATGTTAGTCTGGTTAATTCCATCACAATTACAAAGACCACATCTTCTCATGACATAAAGCTAATATAAAATGGGCTGCTTAATACTGCCCACAAAATATAAATAAACGTGAGCATCATGGGAATGTGAATTGATGTGAATGTATGACGATTGGTAGATAAACCATTTTCAGCCCTCATCTTATTCTATCCATGCTCACTCATCCTCACTCCCCACATACAGTTTTCTTCCAGCCACGATTAATTTCTTACCACTTCCCAAGAGTCCCAGTTTTTCTCACCTTTCTAGGACTTAGCATGAGCACTACCACTTTTCTTAGATGAAGTTTTCTAGGATCTTCCAGTTTCTTTCCGCCCTGTTCACACAGCTTTTTGTGCCTATCTACATTAAAACGTTTACTCATTATGCGGAACTGTTACATGTATCTTTACTAGTCAGTAAACAACTTGAGAACAGGGATTTTTGTTTCATGTTTCTTTATATCTTCAGTTCTTAGCAAAGTATTAAAAACAAAGTGTGTCCTCAATAAAAATGCATTGAATGAATGAATGCATAACCACAATATCATGTGCAAACAGTAAATGTCAAGACACTTAGTTTGACAAATCAAAGATCTTGATTATTTACATGTAGAACTAAAGAAGTATTGATAAGTTTTATGAGCCTCCAAACTTACCAGCATATCTTATCTGCAGTACATCAGGTGGGACATTTAATAGGTTTGAAAAATGATCCTTGAGGTATTTAAAAGTGCTGTCAATTTTAAAAGACATTATAACTTCCTGGCCCACGGGAAGAAGTACAGCTTTTACTGCAGATAAAAAAAAAAAAGAAAGAAAGAAAGAATCATAGTCAAAAAGTAAGGGTCAGCAACCCACAGTCCACAAGCAGATAGAAAATTATGGGACAATTTTTAATGACATAGAATGCAGTTGCTTCTGCCATGTTCCCCCACTGCACTTCCACGATGAGAATTACTTTTCATTTTCTATGAGAAGTGACATTCGGTTGCGACCTTTTCCTTTGAAATTGATTTAGAATCTCAGGAGTTGGCATCAATGGTGAACACCTGCTCCCCCAACTCCAGCTCAAAGTTCAGATCTCCTTTCTATTCTCTGGCATGGGGATCAGTGCATACTCAGGATCACCTCCTCATGCAGAATGCCACAAGAAATGGAAAATAAAACTAAGCTACTCTGAAAGATTCCCAATATGTGCTACATATTACTCAGCTCTAAACATAGAAAACGTCTCAGAAAACCAAGCATTTTCTGTAGTATTAGAAAGGGAGAGCCTGAGTGCTCAAGGGTGCCCCTGAACTTAGAAATGCATACTTTGTTCACATATTGCTATCATCCATCAGTAAATCAGTGAGTGGCTATGAAGCTAAGAAAAACCAATCAAGACATTTTCAAAGAAAATTTTCTTTGACCTTGCAACCAAGTGATATCTAATACTAAGTCCATTCTTTTTCCTATAATTATTTATGTCTATAGTTGCCAAAGTGCAAAACAGAAAAATCATTGTTTTACAAATATCTAGAATAACTATTCACAAATCTACTTTTCAAAAGAATGGACATTATGTGGCTCACTCCCAACTTTATGAAATAGGAAATCAAAAAACTTTATATTTTTATTATTTACATTATATATTTTAACATTACATATTATATACTATATGTTATATATTATGTTATACTATATAATTTGTTACTATAAAATGATTATCTGTTCACAAATTATAGGAAATATAGTATTTAAAAACAATTATTATCGGGTAAACTTTTTTTTATATCTACAGACTTTATATTTTAATGGAGATGTAATAAGTAAGATGGAGTACAGAGTGCACACTATAGGCCAAAAAAGTTTTATATTTCTGGATGCCTGTCACGAGTTTTCATAATGTCAAATCAGACATTTATCAGTAACCTAGGATGAAATTCAACTAGGCACTGTTGATGCTAAGGTTCTTAGAGCTTGTTAAAACTTGTTTTCAGAGTTCTCTATCAACAAAGAGAACATGTGCACATATGTTAAATTATCAAAAGGCTGTTTTAATTATTTTGTGAATTCAAAATTCGATGATAAATTTAAAAATTTTCATAGCTGTAGCTTCCTAAGCTTTGGGGAGGGGAGATGTGTTAAAGAGTTGTGAGCCTCAGGAACTACAGGGCCGAGACAACTTTTTAAAAAATCACCATGTGTTTGTTATAAGCTACAATATCAGGAATCACAGAAATATCAAAAATGGAGCCCAAATTTATACTGAATAATGAAACTGAAGAATAACAGCTTTAGTTAGGTATAATTGGGCTTGATTAATTTCTTCTCCTTCCACCTTTTCATTCTTTACTTATGTGGACATACCATACAAGGGTAAACTACCCCACTGCAACCAAAGGCTACATTTTACCAGCCAAACTAAGCTGCTGTTATTGTTAATTGATGGTTCATGTTCTCCATCTTGTGGATGGAAACTCTCTCAAAACTTGCGGACAAGGGGAAGAAGGAGCAGTTGCTTAACCATACCGGTAGAATGGGTCTCTGTGTAACCACCTCTTTGTGGCTCCCCCTGTGCCTTGTTACCAAAAATGCAGTAATAACTTCCATATGCCATCAACATTATATCTTTAAAATTAACTTATAAGAAAAGACAATGATTTTTATGAAGCTAAGTATAAGGTAACATTACACAGAAATTTGAAATTTGGAAAGATGTAAAAGCACCATAAACTGTGTACTGAGCACTGGTATGAAACTAGAAAATCGGGACTCAAGTTCCCATCCCACCACCTGCTAGCTATGTACAATTAATTCCAAACTGGCACGCAAAAAAATTATAATTATACTCGAGAATTTGCCTACCATTTTTCAAGATCATCAAACATTTTTAAAATGTTTAAAAAACATTTTCCCTACTTTATTTGGGAAAAGCAGATAAACATCCATGTTCCCTACTTTATTTGGGAAAAGCAGATAAACATCCATTTAAAATTTAAAGATGTTCATTGATTTAGGGAGAGTAGATACTGCAGAATAGACAAGCTTCCCACATAGTTAAGAAATTCAAGTGGTATAGCTAGAGAAGTTTGGTGGACAGAGAAAGGGAAAGTAACATCAAGTATAAAACAAATCTTCAAGCAGAAACAAACAAGAAAAAGCAACCATTCTTCAAAATGAGGAAAGCAAATAGCCTGTCTTCCCTAGGTAATACCTGTTGCTAAAGAATCTTGCATCGATGTTTTCAGGGATTCCTTTACAGCCTTTATTTTATCCAGAAATGTCAGATAAGAATCATTTGAATATCGTTTGGTTGACTGCATTGCACTATCAAATTCAGATAGATACTGCTGTTCATGTGCTGGAGAATCTAAAACTTGTTCGGGTGACATAATCTCTTCCACGAGTTGTTCTTCATTGTTTGGTTCCAGGTTTGAAGTGCTCCTGTCATTCTGCTCTTCGACAAGTGTTTCATGGCCCCCACCAGAAGGTTCCGGTGCAGATTCATTTTCCTCAATTTGATCTGCCTCTAGAGCCTCTTGTGCGGGAGCTGGAATGTTGATCTCATAAGCACCATCACCTTCTGATGCATCAAGAGCATTCTGAGCATCAAATTCTTCCTCCTGTTCAGACATTTTCCTGAATTGAGAAAAATAAACACATTTACTATATACCAAATATCGAAAACCTACACCAAATATAAAATTCATTGCTTGTATGCTATAATGTTCATAATGTACTATAATTTTGCTCATTTTTTAAAAAATATTATCTTAGTAATGTCATCAGGTAAAAACATCAGTGAATTTTTAATAAAAACACCAATGAAAGTAAAAATACATAAAAAAAACAGAACCTCAAAGCACAATTAATTTGAGAGAAATCTGTGAATATATTAAAAAATATTTTAAAGCAAAAAAAATGGCATAGATGATAGAGACTCTGTTTATCTCTCTGGTGACCAAATCAAAGTTGTGATGGAAACAAGGAGCAAACAGCAAGGAAAAATCACCTGAGATCTAGATGAACAAGCCATACAACTAGGGAGAAATCCACGAAATCACCTTGCAACAGAAGAAGGTAGGACAGGGCGAGGATACGGGGCTGCCCCATCTGAGTGGCTGAGTGAGACAGAGTCTGCGGCAGCGGAAGATGCCTCTTCAAGGGGCCACGTCCGTGAGCGGATTTTCGCAGTGACAGACCTGCTCGCTCTGAGCACCAGTGCTGACTCAGCTGCGCAGGGGGTACCAGGGACTTACAGAGAGACATTGTTGGAGTGAAGTCCGAGGCAAGACTCGCTTGTTTATACAGAAGTGCTGGCAGTATCCATTGTTCCCTGTTGAGCTCTCCCCACTCCCAGTGCACCATACTGCCGCCATAGCCATGACGTCATCAAACTGGATAACAGAGGTCGCTCTGCCCAGAGGATTCCCTGAAACCCTGCCTCCTCCAACTTGCCTCCCCACCCAAGCCACATCCAGGTGTATTCTCAGGGAGTCAGATGCTCCTTGCTAAGAAGTGCCTCACACTGGAGGTAGCTGGCCTCGGTTTCTGGTGTGGCCTTTTGAGGCAACTATAAGCACAGCATCTGTGGATTGCCTGCTGAATCTTAACAGGTGGCCCCGGAGGGGTAGAGGCTTGGGCTAAATTTGGCCTGCGGCTGAACCCCTCTCAGGACTGTGCCACTGGACAGACACCTACTTCATAAATCCACACTAATAAGACTGGGAGACTTAGGAGCTTTGCTTAGCACATAGAAACAGACATGGAAAGACAGCCAAAATGGGAAGACAAAGAAGCAGAAACCGTATGAAAGAACAGAACAGAGATCCAGATATAAAGAAATCAAGTAATCTAACAGATGTAGAGTTCAAAACACTGGTTATAAAGATGCTCAGTGAATTTTTGGAAAGTGTAGAGAACTTCAACAGAACTTTAAAGAGATAAAAAACATAAAAAATGGAAATGGAAATAAAAAGGAACCAGTCTGAAATGAAGAACACAAAATCTGAGATAAGAAGTATTTTAAATGGAATAATAATCAAAGTGAATAAAGGATCAAATGCCCTATCTAGAGGATGGAAAAGCCAAGGACATTCAATCAGAATAGCAAAAGATAAGATGCCAAGACTATAAAAATAGTTTAAGGAGCATATGGGACACTATTAAGGGTCAAATAGCTGTCTGATAGGTATAACTGAAGAAAATCAAGATGTCGAACAGCTGTTTGAAGAAATAATGATGGAAAACTTTCCTAATCTGGTGAAAGAAATGGACATAAAACCCCAGGAAGCTCAGAGAACCCCCAAAACCAGGAATTCAAAGAGGCCCACACCAAGACACATTATAATTAAAATGCCAAAGGTTAAATACAAAGAAAGAATTTTAAAAGCAGCAAAAGAAAAACAGATAGCTACTTATTAGGGAACACCCATAAGACTGGCAGCTGATTTCTCAACAGAAACTATGCAACAAGTACCTCAAATGGAAAAGAATTAAGTGCTCCAACCAAAAGATATAGTGGCTGAATGGATAAGAAAACAAGATCCCTACATATGCTGTATACAAAAGATTCACTTCAGATTAAAAGACACACACAGACTAAAAGGAAGGGGATGGAAAAAGATATTGCTTTGATGGACCTAGAAGGTATTTAAGTCAGACAGAGAAAAATAAACAGTATATTCTTTCACTTATATGCAGAATCTAAGAAATAAAAGGAACGAACTAATCAAAAACAGACTCACAAATATAGTGGACAATTTAGAGATAGACAGAGGGGAGAGGGATTTAGGGGCTGGAAGAATGGGGTGAAGGGTTAAAGAAGGACAAATTAGTAGCTGATGGAGGATCACGGGGATGGAGAACATGGTATAGGGAATGCAGTTAGCATTAATACATTGGCTAGGTGAAGGGTCAAGGGAGAGAGGGAGCAATTGGGAGGATCGTTTTATGAACTATATAGATGTCTAACCAATGTACTGTATACTTGAAACTAATTAAAATAAGATAAGGATGTGAAAAATATAAGAGATTAAGAGCCATGGAAAAGAGAAAGTGTAGCATATTTTTCTGCTAAGCAGATATCTTGCTGTGAGCTAAGAATGGGTTTGTATTGCTAAAATAAAAAAATAAATAAAGAATATGCAACAGAGACTGCGTGTGACCTGTGAAGTCCTTTTCAGAAAAAGTCTGCCAGCCCCTGATCTGCATATGTCAAATTGGAGGCTCTGAAGAAAACAGAAAGGTGGAAGAAAGAAAATATTTTAAAAGGTAGTGACTGAGAATTTCTTAAAACTGATGAAAAATATGGAGCCACAGATCCAGGAAATACAATATAAATATATACCTAACAAGATAAATAAAAATAATTCATAGTCATATACACTGTAATTAAATTACAGAATAACAAAGACAGATAAGGTCTGGAAAGCAAACAATGATAAAGGACATACCATCTACTGCTCCGAATCATATTAATTTGCTGACATTAATATAAAGGCAAGAAAAGTAAAATAACTGCAGATTTCTCATCAAAGAATAGAAACCAAGGCAACAATGAGATAGCTATCAACCTAGAATTGTGCATCCAGTAAAACTATCTTTTAAGAAAGATATAGAAACATTTAGAAATAAGTTATCATCAAGATATCTTTTCTAAAGGAACTTCTAAAGGATATACTTGAAGGAAGAAATGGGCCCAAAGGAAGTCCAAAGTGCAAGAAGGAAAGGCGACTGAATAAATCATAAACATAAGGGTAGACCCAAACAAATACTGTCAACACAAAATAATAGTAGAAAATTGAAATATTAGACAAAATATGTAACAGAGAATGGAAAGATGAGAATAAACTATTCTCAAAAACTTATACTGTTTACAAAATTGAGGGATGTGATATTCTTAACCCTCAACTTTGTTAAATTAAATATGCATCGTTAAATTTCAAGTACAACAAACAAAATAACTAAAATAAAGTTCTGACATGTAAAACAATAAAGAGGAAAGAAAGTGAAATGAGATAAAACTGAACAGAAACTCAATTTTTAAAAAATTCAAGAACCCTCTCTAAGCATTCATTCGCCAAAAAAAAAAAAAAAAAATCTTCCTTTTGGTTATTTTCTCCCTTAACAGAGCTTAATGGCCTGATCAGAAAGAAAGTATCATAAAGTAGCCCTAACTCCTAGCAACGTACTCTTCTGCCTTTTTTGGAGAGTCTGAGGTAATGCTCTTATTTTTATCTAGTGGGTCATCCTCTAAATCAGCAATGGCAACAAAATCAAAAACATCTGCTCTTCAAAAAACACAACTTAAAGAATAAAAAGACAAACCATAGGGAGATGATTTTTTTTTACAAAATTCATACCTGATAAAGGATTTGTATCCAGAATACATAGAGAACTCTCAAAACTCAATAAGAAAAAAATATCAGTAAAAAATGAGTAAGAGATTTCAATAGATATGTCACGAAAGAACATATCCAGAAGGCAAAATAAGCAGGGCCAGGACTAGGCTAAGACAAGTCTGGTGCCTGCACTGCTCAACACACACTCTTGAGCCTGAGAATAAATGCCTCCTAAGATTTTGTACTTAGTTGTCTCAATTGCCTCACTAGTCGTGGCCTTGAGAACGAGTACATGAAATGATGGTCAGTGTTATTAGTCATTAGAGAAATACAACTTCAAATCACAATGAAAATCCACTATACACCTATTGAAATAGTTAATAAATTATTTTAGCCCAACAATATCAAGTTCTAGTGAGAATGAAGACAAGTAGCTTTTAGAGTTGATGGTGAAAATGAAAATTAGTACAGGATTTGGAATAATTATTGGTCAGTTTTCTTACAAAATTAAACACATACTTTTCCTATGACCTAGCAATCTGTGTCCTTTAACCAAGTAGGATGAAAAACTACATTCCCACAAAACCTGTACACGAAAGTTTAGAAAGCCTCTATTCTTAATCACCAAAGACCTGAAACAACACAAATGTTCCTTATCCGATGAATGGATACACATACTGTGATTCATTCATAAAATGGACTACTACTCATCAATAAAAAGGAATAAGCTTAATACACACAACAATATGGATGAATCTCGAATTACGCTAAGTGAAGCCAAATCTACAGGCTACATACTGTCTGATAAGTGAAAAAGTAAAGATGTTGGTGCATAAACTCGAGTTCCCAGGGTGAAATCCAAAACTGCCCACCTACACGGAGGGAAAGGAGAGATTGAAAAAAAGAGGCAGACCACTCCAGATAGTAGCATCTAGCACAGTGAGGGACCTCCAAGGAGAGGGGAGAAGGTAAGGATGCTCTGATTGCCCAGTCCAGTTCGAGGGTCAACACAAGGTCACATCCTCGACCTCCAAAAGCACAGACCAGTACGTACAATGTTTCAGGTACTAGTATATATTTGTACATGTATAGAATATCTCTGGAAGGTGAACTGGAGAACGGGGCAGTGGGTGAGTAAATGGGTGGAAGGCAGATTCTCACTGTTTATTTTTTTACTGTTTATTTTTTTAAATTATATTTATGTATTATCTATTCAAAATTAAATGTTTTAACCTTAAAATTTGTTTTAAAAGAAACAGCAGTCTCTATTATGATTGCATACAAAAAAAAAAAAATCCCCCTTTCACTACAAATGCATTATTTTCTTGACAGATCTAGAATGTTAGTGTTAGTAAGGAAGGATTTAGTTTTGCCTTCTAGCAAATAGACGTGTTAAGTTTTAAAGTTTTTTAAGAAGCAAAGACCATGGGTGGAGAGGCGAGCGCCAGTGAGGAAAGACAATGGTCACCAAAGACGACTAAATGTTTTCTACTGCCATACATTTTGTTTCTATACTATTACCGTGAAAAGCACGGGGCGCGGGGCGAGGTGTGCCTCCTAGCTTGATACTGCTGCTTCTGAATCCCAACTCAGAGATTCGGAGCCAGAAATGAAACCAAAAAAGAAGGGGAGCTTTGCACGGCTTTGAAAGTAAAAGTGGAACATTCCCGACGGCCAAGCAGCCCACAGAGCCCAGGAGGCATAAACGCCCGGCACATAGTCCTCGGAGTCACTGGCTCAAGGCCGGTCTAAGGGTTGGGCCAGGAGAGGGCAGCCAGAACCTGTCCTCCTACCTGACTAATTATGCAGCTACTCCGGTCGAAGAGGAGTACGCTCCCAGAAACAAGCATCCATGCTCGCCGCTCTCTGTTGCCGGCAGTATCCTAGCAACGACCACAGCACCGCCTCCTCCCGCCTCGGCACCACTCCCGCGAGAGGCGGCGGTTTTCCGCCTGGGAAAGGAAGGCCAAGGAGGGCTGTGGAGTCTGGGGATCGATGGGGCGGGGGGATTCGAAGGGCGGGGCAGGGCGATTCGAGGGACGGGGCGGAGCAAGGGGCGAAGAGAGTAGTTACCTACTCGTTAGATCTGAAAGTGACTGGACTCCAATAACCACTCTCCAAGATTCCTCTTACATTTGTGAAAGGGAACAGTTCTCCGAACCAAACATTGAAAGCAATTTACTCCTATAGATATGAAAAACCAGGGTTATAGAAAATATAACTGTGAAATGAACATTTTGATAAAGGAAAACGCCGTACAACAGTAGGTAACTACTGACTTTTGTTATATTTATAACTTGGCTCCCAACTTCCTGGCATACAAAGAGAAAAGGGGGACAGAAGCTATTAAATAAGTCCCCTTTTAAGTGAGGAGAAGCAAAGCTTTTGTTAATCATTGAATTATATAAGGTTTTTTTTTTCCTATCACTATAAATTCTTCAAATTGAGAGGGTTTTTAAAGAATGGGGGGAAAGGATCATTTGTGTTCCTACTGCAAATGTGGTAACAAACTTAATGTGTCTATCTCATAATAATAGCTAATTTATTAAGTATTATTTGTTACTAAGCACTTCATATTTCCAATTTAACCTTATAGAGATTTTATTAAGGAAAAACTGTGATTAGCTCCATTTTATTAACCAGGAAACTAAGGTTTAGAGAGGTTTAGTGAGGGATCCAGGATTAAATCCAGCAGTCTGACTCCAGAGCCTCAATTTTAAACCACTATTCTACACTACATTGTTTGATTTAATACACTTAGCTATTTAAAAATGATGTAAGATTAATAAAATTAAAATTTTTGTTATATATAGTACAGGTCCACTCCTTCATAAGTCTGTCTTCCTTTTTTTATATCATTCTTTTGGCATTGTGTTATCTCTCAATAACTTCCTAATGTCTACTTTTTCAGTTTTCATCCTATTTTAAAAAGTATATTTATTATTAGAATGATATAAAATATATATCTCCAGATAAAAGTCTTTAATAATGGTTTTAAAATAAAGCAAATGCATTTAAATCACTGCATGAATCCACATATTTATGAAGAGCAGAGAAAAAAGAGAAAAGGATCATTCAGATGACCATTAGGGTTAGTCTTTCATGGGTAAATCAGGTATGATATGAGGTGTGAAGATACGTGCTTCCAAACACTCCCCACTCCCACCTCCAAAATCATAGTGTGTCTTAATTTTATTAGTAATGAGAATCCCGCTGGTTTTAAACACTCACCTTTCTTTCTGGGTCTCTGCTTTAAAATTTATCATCCACAGCCCTCCACGTTAGGGATAGTAATAAAAAAACTGGGTTTAGGCATAGAAACAGGAGATGGAGGAAAGAAAATCTAATGATAGAGAACTTCAAGTACTTCACAGTGTAAAATGTGACTAGAAACCTAGTATATGTTCACATTTTATTTATAGTTTGCTGTGAAGATGATCTTATACAACTATATAAGCTTAACTTAATTGGTAGGCTTCCCAGGTAATCATTCTGGTTATTAGCATATCAAAATTACACACACACATACACACACTGTCGTTATTTGCTTATATAAAGATAAATGCAAGCTGAAAACAACCAATAGGAAAGACTCCATTCTAAAACTGGAAAAGTAATTTTACATTATTTTCTATTTACTTTTCACAACAAACCTATACATTTTCTCATGACTTATTGCCCAAAATGAGTTATCTTTATTCTCATGAAACACCTACCTTTATCTTAGCCTTTATTGATAATGATTTCTTTTAATGTGTTTTTATTTTTACAAAGATGCCACCTAGTGGCTTTACAAAATCAAGCATTTCAAAGTATTTCTCGTTACTTCAGGCTACAATGTGTTTTCATATAAATGAATGAATTTAAAAAAAAAATAGAATTTAGTAGAACAAGGATATAAAATTATGCTTTGGAAATTATCTATGTGGATTAAATTTGGATCATAATACCTCGTAAAGAAAATGGAAATACAGATAGTATTTCCAGTCTATTCTATAACTATAAGGGACTGGTTATTGAAATTCAGGGTTTTCCCATTTTCGAAAGGTCATATGGGCATATACTGTATATTCTGTGACACATTCAGTGGGTTTGGAGAAGTAGAATCAGAGAAGCATAATCAAATACATTAATATGTTTGCAGCAAAATAGATTCATATTCACATTAAAGTGGGATAAAGGCCACTAATAGTCTTATGTCAATTCTTGTCAGATTTTACTTCCAATAAGTCATGAAAAAAATTTGTTTTCAAACATTTTTGGAGTTTGGAATTTAGATAGGAAATTTTGAATGTTTTATCCTGAGGAAAAGAAGTAACACTTCCGTTAAAAAAAAAAAAGTAAAATGAAATATTGTCATAAAATAGTAATGTTTATCTTTAGAAATGCCTACAAGGTTCACCTGAAAAAAATATTTGAAGATCATGAGAAATCCCTCCCAAAAATCTCTGCAATGCTTTTCATTTATAGAGTTATATATAAAAAAAAGCTATTCTACCATAAATTACATTTAAGTACATTGAAAAAAATTAGCTAAAATAAACCTAAAGATCTCTTTGAAAATGCATTATTAGCAATGCATGGCAAGATAAATTTAAATTCTCCAGCACACTCAAAAAAAATTTTTTTAACCTTTTTTTTTCAATTTCTACGTATAATGCATCATGTTCCCTTTCCTGTCTCTGTGTTTATGGAAGCATGTGTTGAGATGGCACCATCTCAGCTGAGATCCTGTGTTTGACTCTTTTGAGCACTGTCAAACCTCATTAGACATGTAATATAAGAATAAGAAGAATAAGAAACAAACTTTCATTAAGACTTTGGGATTTAGGGGTAGCCTATGATAATTCACTACTTTTCTCACTAATTTCTTTCACTAACTAGTTTTGGCTTATTATCTCTAAATACATACTTTTGAACAAATTTCTCCAGTACCTACTAATAATTCAAATCCCATATCATACTCCCACTTTGATTTCTTGTAAATTATATTTAAAATAAACCTCTTTATCCTCTTCTAAACCAAACTCTTCTCATTTACCTTTTTTTCTCAGAGTATTACTATTATGATAGGCTACAAACCCACTGAGTACCAAGTTTTAAAGGAAATTCTGCCCTCAGATGCAAACCACTCAGAGTTTAGAACTTGGAACTTTACTCGAGACTCCAGAATAGGTTTGCATAGGTTTTTTTTAACTTGTTTCTTTACATAACTATGGAGGCTGGGAAGAAAAAGAAAAAGCTGATATTAGCCTACAGGTGAGAATTTTCTTATACAGAATATTGTTATTTTCTCCCTTTGAGAAAGAAAACTTGAAGCTTGATATAAATAACTGGGGAAATGCAACAAGAGCTCGAAAGTCCGCTTTGCAATTGGAGAACATTAAGGTCTTGCAAAATCAGAAGATCTTGGCTTCTGAGAATAGTGAAACCGAACTCTTAAGACTTCATGGGGAAGTTCCTGGATCAATGGAAGAACACAGACTATCTGGAATATCATCTTTACTGTCCAAAGGAATTAGGAAATCTGGCCCGACGGGAATTCTGCCTGGAAAGCCTGCTGAAGGAAGCATCAGGTGAAGAGATTTAACTTCTTGAGGCAAAATGGCAAGTCTTCCCATTGTGGTATGTCCAGGCCAGAATCTTGACCTCCATTTGACAGAAGATGGCTTTCCTTTTTATCTAGGATCCTAATCTTCGTTGTTGTACTTGAAAATAAACATGCTTTGCATTATAACAACAAAAAAAAGTTCGATTAGTTTCACCTAACTGCACTTTAAGATTAGAAAAGGAAATAATCAGAATAAGCTTCTTTCATCCTCCAGTTCTAAGGAAAACACAGAGGGAGGGGGAAAAAATGGAGAGTGAAGGGACACAATGAAATCTGAGGCCTGGTGGCCCATGGATGCCACTAATGGCATCATGTTCTTTCTATTCAGATGACAGACTACTTCAACTTCTCCTGGTGTAAAAAAGATGGCAACCCTCAGAGCTGAGCAAGTTGGTGCTACATATCCTATTTGCCTAGGACGGTCATGGTTTATCTGTTATCCTTCTGAAATTATGAACACTTCCTTTCATTCTCAAAATCATTACAGGTTGAATAAAAAGAAAATCATATGGTTATACAGATACAACCCATTTTCACACCCAAGGAAAGAATGCCCGGAAATTTGAATATTCTGCACTCATCCAGATAGGTGAAATGGGGCATCGATTTGCTGCCTTATTTTTTTTTTTACAAAGTTCAAACTGATTAGCTTCTTTTTCTTTTGAAGTGTCTGGAGTATGATAATTTGAATAAAACATATGAGAAGCCTAGAGAGAATTGAAATGGGCCATTCTGAAAATAATTCAAATTAGTCTAGAAGCCATTCAGCAATGCTGAAGGTCTTTAAATAGAATTTAATTTCCAATTGATCAGGAAAGCTTAATCGGAAAGTTTATAGGAAGCAACCGGTAAACATTGATGGGGTAAAGAAAACTGAGTGTAAGGTTGTTTGGGCAGTTAGAATGGCAGTAAATGTAAAAGAATAATAGACCACAGTGCAATGCCTTTTAGATACCTACCCCATTAGCTGCCTGTGATCCATGTGAATATATTCGCAGGAAATGAAATCCTGTTTACTACCTCTGTTCGCATTTGTTCTTTATAGGTACTTTGACAGAAAAAGTCAAGAAAGCAGGGTCTAGGTTCTTTTGGTGCAGCCCATACAGTACATGCAGGAGTGACAGCATCATATGCATTCATAAGGAAAAATATAATGGTTAGGAGTCGTCAGAGTTCTGGAGCAAGTCTCTCTAGGTTCAGAATGTAGCTCCACATCTTACTAGTTATGTCACCTTGGGTACGTTATCATACCATCTCTTTGCCTCAGTTTCTCAGGATCCCCACGTCGCACAATTGCAGTGGAGCACTACTCACTGAATTCTGGTTTCCTTATCTGGAAAATGGAGATAATTTGCAGGATCTTCCTCTTAGACTAGTAGTGCAGATTTAATGAGTGAAATTAGTCAAGTACTTAGAACAGTACCTGGCAAACATGAACAAATATTAGCTATTATTATTATTATTACATTATTACTAAGACCCTGCCAGAACCTGCAGCTGGGGAAAACCTTGAGCCACATCCTCCAGCCTACAGAAACAATGGAGCAGACAGAACCATAGTTGCAGGAGATAAGCAGGCCCAGGGAGTTTCTAAAGTCATGCATGTGCATTAGTTAAAAAAGGTGTCCTATAGTCAACTTTCCCTCATTATCATAGTAAGAAGCACTCCCCGCTAAGTGGAGATTAAGATGCTAATGAGACATGCTACCCAGGATACAGCATATTGGTACAGGGAAAGACCAGCCTCAACATACTTTGGGAGAGAAAAAGGAAAGGGTAAGGGGTGGGCTCCAACCCCAAGAGCCTATACAACTCCTGGGGAACCACATCCATTCTCTTTCGGAGTGACTCCCTTAGTACAAGTTTTCACTTTAATAAACTTTCTCTCTGCAAAAGTTTTACCCACTCCTTGATTTCCTAAGAGGGGCAAGGACCCCTGTGCCGGAAACAGTTACTATTCCACAACTAGCATTTCTAATGCAGACATCAATAAGGTCCCCTTTTATTAACAGCCACAGGAGCTCTGTTGGTGAAATATATACAATGCCCAAGAACAATGGGAGAAGTGGGGCTGAGAGTATAACAGAGGCACATCAAGCCAGCTTTCTGTTTTTATGTGCCCAAAGGACTAAAAGAAAAAGGCTGGTTAGTAAATTAGCTTGAAAGCATCTATGCAAACATGCTTTAGGATATTATTTTCTTACTAATTCTGATGTATCATATATTAAATTATCTATTATATATTAAACCAAATGTTTAGAACTGAAAAGGAAGTTATAAATCACAAACTCTACTTTTTACAGAGAAGGAAATAAGCCATCCTGAGAGGTTAACTTGCCTCCCCTAGTCACTGAGTTCATGATGGCACTAGAAGCATGGGAATGAGAACCCCTGGACTTCTGACTCTCCCTCTAATGCTTTCCCACTTCCCCCACAGGTTTCCCTTAGTCTGACTGCTGAAAAGTAACTCAACCCACCTCGTTAATACTTATTTAGCATTCAATTTACAACTCTGCAAGAGAAAAAATATATTGGAAAAAGAAAAATACAATTTTTTTCTCATTCTGAAAATTCTAAGATTCTACTTTGCCACAAGAAATAGCAAACACACACACACACAAACTCACACCCCCAAAAGTACTATCTTTGAAGTTAAGAAATATCAAATTTAACAGAGTATTTAGAAATAACAGAGGCTAGGAAGAAAAGGTGAGGACACACGAAAAGTAATTTTATTTTTGTTTAACCTTAAGCTTGTCAACTGCTTCTTTGCTTAAACAGCACTTATCTTTGTTTAACCCTTCTGCACTCACACTGGAAACTCAGTGAAGACTATTTAGTGATTCCGCTTTGAAGTTATAACTATACGACTAAGATGTCTGCTAGATAAACTTTAGGAACTTTTATCTCTTCGTTTACAGAAATTCTCTTTCCTGATGTAGTTTGGTTAATCAAGAAAACTAAAGGCTAAGGGCTAGAAAGCCAACTGCCTTAAATGAGACGAAAGAAAAAGTTTTTCCAACTACCACTATAAATAAGAAATCTCTCAAATATCAAGCCAATTTCCTCAACTATACAATAAATTTTAATTTGATGGTTTTTACTGTTACTACTTCATTTTAAACAATGACCTATAAATTTGTTTAAGCAGTAACAATAATTAAAGACCTTTTCTAGGTTTATCGGAATTAAAAATAATTAAATGATAAGATACTACTAAGAATATTTGACCTTTCAAACATGGCCTCTGCATTGAAATCTATAGAAATTTTTCCAATTAACTTTCAAATTGTCCGACAACTTCTATTTAAAAAAAAAAAAAATCTTCGAAATAATTTAAATGCTTTACAAACTAAAAACTGATATCATAAGTCTCTACTACATAATTACTAATTTTAAAAAGTCTCCTAAATATGTTCTATGTCAGTTTTCTTGATAAGATATAAATAATATGGAAACTTTTGATATAATAGGACATTTAATTACATCAGCTTCCTGTCAACACACAAGTCATTTAATGATGATTATATCGGCCATTTCCACTGGTTGGCAGGAGGCTCTTCCACTAAAGGCTCCCACGGCTTCCACTGTATCATTTTTCTCGCCAGACTTAGTTCATTTTCAGCCTGTTAATAAAATGTTTTAAAAATATCATTTGATTATACTGTTTAACAGATATTATCATGGCTAATAACCGAAGTACAACTAGACAGAACTACTGCTTTCATATTAATACCTAATAAGCTGTTCTACTATCAAATGTTGAACATTATTAATTAAATTACCTTAATTCTCACAGCTACACAATCTCCACAACTCAGAAAGGATAGCATTTGATTTCTTCTATTCGGTTAAAACTTACTATTAGAGTGTTCAAAAGTTTAGTTGGTGACTTTTCAATCTTAATTGTGTTTCACCATTAGACTACAAATTCTTTGAGGATCAGAAGTATGTCTCTTCATCTACTGTCAAGAGCTTTCAAACTTTATCTTACCATGCATGGCCCACAGTAAAAAAAAAAATAATTACTAAGGGATCCACAATACACACATATAATTCAAACAAAACTAAAAATATCATTACCTTTAATAGCTGTGATATACTCTATTTTCTATTGTAATTATTATTATTATTTATTATTATTTTTTTTAATATAACACCTACAGCACCTGGTATTCCTAGGTGGTCTCCAATCCAAGTACTAACCAGGCCTGACCCTGCTTAGCTTCCGAGATCAGACGAGATCGGGTACGTTCAGGGTAGCACAAACTCTACTGTAATTTTTTTAGTGCCAGTTATAACTCGCCTGCTGATTTCATGACCCAGTCACTTAAAACCACAGTTTATAAAACAGTTTTCCATGTAATGTAAAATATAATAGGTGCACAAAAAATATTTCTTGGTTGAGTTAGTTTCCTTAATCAGATTATGTTACATTTAATTTTTCCTTTCAAACACGATTTACAACATATTTAACACATATATTTTAGATATCTTTTTATTTCACTTTTCTTCTAGAACAAAAAGACCTATGACAACTCTGGCCAACTTAGACACTGTTGAACACTTGTCAGGATGTCAGGGAAGAAATTCAAACAGAATAAATGCTTAGGTTCTATCAGAAACTATAATCATAAAATTAAAAGGCAATGCCTCATTTATGCCAGTGGTGCAAAACAGCCAATTTACGTTTAGCAATAACAATCTAAACATAAACAATAAGTTAAAGAGTAGATTAATAGAAATCTGGGAGTAGAGGTACTTATTAATGCTGACATGAGAAAACTGTATAAATACTGATTTAAAATACCCCTTATAGTGGCTATCTCTCTGACTGCCCCTTGGCCTGGATCTTTTGACCGTCCATGCTTTCTTGATGCCCACAAGGTATCGTTCAATGAGGGGAGGGTATCTACCATGAACACCATGAAGTCAGCTTTATTTTAAGAAGCTGGACCCAGTTGACCACTCCCTCCCTCTTCTTTGGCTTATAACACACTGTCTTTTCCTCATTTCTCTTTTAGTATCCCTCTAGAAATGGACTATCCAAGATGGTAGCCACTACCTACACTTGAAATGTAGCTAGTTTGAAATCAGATGTGCTGCAAGTATAAAATATACACCAGGTTTTAAAGACAATATAAAAAATAATGTAAAATATCTCAGTATTTTTATATTGATTGTTTCAATGATAAAATCTTAGTTATATAATTGCATGATAAATTAATGTATCAACTAAAGTCAAGTCACGATCAAAGTAAAAACAGGTAGAAAAGAAAGAAAAGTAGGAAGAGGACAATAATAAGTCTGCAGCAAGTTCCCATAACACTACATCTAGTACCATAGTCGAACGAATAGAAAGGCTAAGAAAATAGCCCTTTGAAAAGCATACATTCACTAAAAGCTGTATGAATGCCCCATTCCTCTTTTTAATTTATATTTTTACTTTTTCAATTATGGTTGACATATGATATTAGTTTCAGATGTACAACACAATTAGACATTTGTATAACTTACACAGTGATCACTGATAAATCCAGTACCATCTGACACCACACAGGTATTGTAATACTACTGACTATATTCCCCATGCTATACGTCCCCATGACTATAAATTTTCTAATTACCAGTTTGTACCTCTTAATCCCCTCCCCTCTTTATCCATCTCCCCACCTCTTAGTCTTCCTTTAACAGAGCCATCTAAAAATGTTTTCGCATAACATGTCTGTTGGTGAACTATCTCCCTAATTCCCAATACTATACAATATTTCCTTTCATGTGTCCTTCGATAAAAGGCAAGAAAACTTAAGAAGACCAACATGAAAAACTGTAAAAATTAAATGAAACAGAATTAAATATTCATCAGACCCATATAAGGAGAAGACATGGCAGGGGCGTGGAGTGGGCAGGGGGAGGTGATTTTACTAAATAAAAAATTTAAAAACCTCTATATATGGGAGAAGATATTCAATTGAAATCAAAAGGCAAAAAACAGACTAAAAGAAAAAAAATGTAAGGACAATAGGTCAAAAGTTTAAGGTTAATACCTTTCATTTTTAAAAACAATTGAAAATCTGTAAGAAAAACACTTGAAACAAATGAAGAGTAAAATATTAATAGTTAATAAAACATGAAAACTAAAAACATATTTTAAGTTTTACCTTACTAGTAATTCAGAAAAAAGAATATACAACTAAAAAAAAAGGGGGGGGCATCATTTCCCCCAATTTAATTAAAAATTATATACAAAAACATAAAAGTATTTGTATCTAAAAGATAAAATTTTTCAAATAACAGTAATATTGTGTTACCAATTTGAACTATATTAAGGCTGACAAGAACATGATGATTAAATTCAAAGGCTATCAAACCTGCCAACAGAAGCCTCATAAATTCAAATTATAATCAATGATATTTAACTGACATATGCATTAGAAATATTTTCCATATGTGATTCTTAGAGTTGATGAATTGATACAAAGAAACTGAGTTTTCCTTTCTTTCTGGAATGTCATTTTTGTGCCTCTATACATTGTACCTCTGAATATTTGAAGCCAAACATGTAAAAATTCAACTTTTTCTTTACCTGAAGAATCGCCTCTTCTATTTGGCCACTCTGAAGTTGGTCTTCTAATCTTTTAACATCTGATTCCTATAATTTAAGGGGAAAAAAAGAAAGAAAAACATATTTAAACAAAGGAACTCAACATCTGAATGTTTCAATATCCTATATTTTAAAAACTCATATATAAAAAAACACTTAATATAACCAACATAACTAATTTTTCTTTAATTGTACCCTTACTAATATTTACCAAATATCTTGCAGAAACCCATTTTATCTCTCTACTAATTTATTGCTTTTCTGTCTTAATATTAAAAAGTATTAAGTGTTTACTGACATGCTTATCAGAGATAAGAAATAAGATATCTAATTCAGTCTTTTTAAAATACAGATTTTCCAGGTCTTTTTAGGTAATTTATTATTTATTATTTTTTAATTAACAAATCCTTTTTTGTAACATTTTATTTTTTTATTTTTCCTCTTCTCCCCTCCCCTCTGAAAATACAGATTTTAAAATAGCATTTTATTTTCTTAGTATTTCCTATATTTCCTCTGAGTACATTAGCATTAAAAATAATTGCTATCCTAGGACCCAAAATTCCACTCCTAGGTATAAACCAAACAGAAATGCAAATAAGTTAACCATAACATGTTCAAGAATATTCGCAGCATCACAAATTATAGCCCCAAACTAGAAACAAGCCAAATGACCATATGTAATAGAATGAATAAACTATAGTATTTGAGTATAATACTATGCAGTAATGAGAATGAACAAACTACAACTGAACACAACAGACGATTCTCTCAAACATAATATTTAGCAAAAGAAACCAGACATGATAGAATACAAACGGATGATACCATTTATAAAAAGTTCAAAAACCAAGCAAAATGAATGTGGTGGTAAGAGGTCAGAAGAGTGGTCATCTTTAGGACAGCAGTAACTTTGAGGGGAACAAGAGAGGATTTTGTTGTTCCGGAAATGTCCTCTCTGATTTGATGTCATCATGGGTGTAATTACTTTGTGAAAATTCATTAAGCTCTGTATTTCAGCACGTGTCTTTGTGTACATTATTCTTCAAAAAGTTTTTAAAGAAATGCTAATGTACTACCCAGAATATTCAATGACATACATTTATTTTCTAATACATTGAGCTTTTTGAGAACCAAAAACCATGTCCTATACTTACACATGCATAAGTAAATAAGTATAAACGGGGTAGGGGGTTTTTTTGACCTTAATAGAATGAAAAGAGGGAGGGGAAAAAAAAGGTATTCTCTACAGAAATTGGCATGTTTCTGCCTCAGGACATCTTCTGGCTGATCCAAGGTATCTGTTTGGCTTGTTCCTTCACCTCCATCCAAGTCTTCGCTTGCATATCATCTCAATAGGGAGGACCACTTAAACTGTTGTAGAATGAACAATGCCCCACAAGACGTGCATTAAGTAATCCCCAGGACCTGTGAATGTTACTTTACATGGCAAAGACTCTGCAGGTGTGATTGTTAAGAATCTTGAGAAGGGGAGATTCTTCTAGATTATCTTAGAGGGCTCTAAATACAAGTGTTCTTAAAAAAATAAATAAATAAAAGTACTTAAGACAAAAAAAAAAACTAACTAAATAAATACAAGTGTCCTTATAAGACAGAGGCAGAAGAAAATTATACATAGGAGAAAGTAATGTGACAGAAAGTAATGAGGCAGAGATTAGAGTGATGGGACCACATGCCAAGGAATGCCAAAACCCACCAGGGCTGGAAGAGGCAAGAATAGATTCTACTCTAGAGCCTCCAAAGGCTCTACAACTTGATACTGATTTTAGACTTTTGGATTGCAGAAATGTAAGAGAATAAGTTTCTATTGTTTTTAAGCCAACAAGTTTATAGTACTTTGTTACAGTGGCCATAGAAAACTAATACATAACATCCCTCATTACCCTGGTACACATCATTCTTCTTTTTTATTTTTCTACATTACAATATGTTCTAACATACTATGTAATGTACTTCTTTATTCACTTACTTATTTTACTTATTTATTTCTTTGCCTCCCATCATTAATGAATAATCTTCAAGAAGGCAGGGATTTTTATCTGTTTTGTTCATTGCCATGTAGACACTAGCTTTGATGCCTAGGATCATGTGGCATATAAACAGGCATTTGATAAGTTGGAAAAAGCAGTTGGAAAAGAAGGGGAAAAACAGAAGATGAACATGTTTGGGAACAACTGTTTAACTCAGAATTAACTGAGCTATGAAAGCCAAAAATCAAAAGCAAAAGAGGAAAACTATTACAAGAGACCCAGGAGGGTAAAGGTTAAGAAAGAAAGAAATGTTCAATAATATTTTCAACTCAGTAAAAGCATGTGTTAGGAAAATAATTCAAAATTTGTCTTATTGAAAACGAGTCAGTAATGTGGCATTTACCAATGGCATAATGCCATTAAGCTGAATAAGGTATCATGTACCTCATGTTTGCTATATGCTTGCAACTGTGTTAAGCACTTCACATAAATCACCTCATTCAGCACTAACAGTAAGTATACATGGTAGGTACCAGTAAATCCATGTTATAGACAAGGCAAGTGAGACAGAGAAATTAGGCAATATGCCAACAGTCATTCAGCAAATAAGTATTAGAGCTGAGATGAAAATTTTGGACAGTCTACAAACCAATGCTTCTCCTCAATATGCTATTACTATCTCCTTGGTATAATCTACAAAATATTTACTTTTATTTCTATTTCAGATTTAGCAGATATTTTATAATCATAATATTCACTGAAGACTTGTCTGTGGCTCTATGGGGAGTTAAAAATCTGTGATGATTTAACAAAAAATAAGAATCAGTGATATAACTATTCTATAGTGCCTGGGGTTGTTAAAAACGACTTATATTTAGCCTTTTGAATAAACAAACATTTCTAAGAGACCTTAGATAAGTGCCAGGTGCTACAATAGATTCTTCAGATACAAAGATGAATGCAATCATTTTTCACAAGTAGCTTACAACTAGTAGAGGAGACATAAATAAAACACAATATGTTAGGTACAATGGAAGAGAGCAAGGAAGTTGTAGATCTCTTCTTAGGGAGGTAAAAAAAGATTTCACAAAGGAAGTGGTAATCTTAAGGGCTAAGTAAGAACTGTAAGACAGACAAGGTAAGGACATTCCAGGAAAAGGGAAGAGAAAATACAAAAGAACACAAAAATAAACTTGCATGGAATTCACATAACTATCAACAGTTTGGTATTGCTAAAAATAGGGTACAACACAGAAAATAACAAGATAACCTACAGCCAGCCCTTGGAGGGCCTTCCATCCAAGCTAAGGACTTTATCCTGTATGTCAGTGGTTCTCAAATCTGATATACATCAAAATCATGCAAATAAACATAGCTAGGTGAGTTTCACACATTCAGCTCAACATAAATCCTTAAACTCAGTCTTTGAGAAATATTGAACAGGAAACCACGGTAAGGTTTTTAAGCAGAGACACTAAAATTTATGTATTGAAAAAGATCACTCTATTGGCAGTGAGGGGCTTATAATGAAGTATGATGAAACTATACACAGACTAGTCTGTTACAAGGCAATTGAAATAGCTCAGATCAGAGAAAAAGATTTTAGAACTAATAAGTGAAAGTAATGACAGTGAACTATTCTTTGGATGACACTGGCTGTGAGAGAAAAGAGATATAGGGCAAAAGGAAAGGAAGAAAATATAAAGATAGAATTTTCTTTTTAAGATAGAAACAAGCTAAATACATTTTGAGACCATCTGAAAGATGATAATAAAATAGGAGGCAAAAAAAGAAATAGAGAAGAAATGATTAATTGGGAACAAGGTCATGGAGAAAAAATGCAGAGAAAGAATCAAAGACACAGTCAAATAGATTGAATAGGTTCACCTTATGAAAAGAAAAAGGGAAATTTCTTACTCTGTGATGAGAAAAATATGCATAAGCCCATTTTCGTTAAGGAAAACATATTAAAAAAAATGTTCCCCTTTAGAGACTTTAATCTGTAAATTACTTCCAGAACTTCCAAGTTAAGAATAAAGGCACCAAATCAAATTTCATTGTTTTGCTGTATACCCAAGGTAAAGATAAGAATTCTCTTTAAACTATAGTTTGGTAATCTAAGATAAATACAATAGACCACTTATTGCATATATGTCAATTACTTTTGAAGTTTATAAATACTAAAAATTCAATGAAATAACTGCTACTATAGAAATTTAACAACAGTGCAATATAGTTTGGTATAAAATAATCAGCAGCAGTCAACTGTGTGCCTGTCTAGGGCCTTTGATTTGGAAGCTGTAAAACGCTTTTTTATTAGTCTGCTTGGGCTGCCTTAACAAAATACCTTAGACTGGGTGGCTTAAACAAAAGAAATGTATTTTCTCAAAGTTCTGGACACTGGAAGTCCAAGATCAAGGTCTGGCAGAGTAGGTTTCTGGTGACAGCTATTTTTCTGCATTGCAAACAGCCATCTTCTCACTGTATCATCATATGGCGTAGAGAGCATTAGCTCTCTGGTGTCTCTTCTTATAAGGACACTAATCCTACTGGATCAGGGCAGCACTCTAATAACCTCATTAACCTTAATTACTTCCATAGAGGTTCCAGCCACACCAGGGGCTTTAACTTATAAATTCTGGGAGGCCACATTCGGTCCTTAACAATGCTCAATAAAATTTTTCTTAGTTAAGTGACAAATTTGGTCCTCTTATTTTTGCAACAAAGCACTTTTTAAGTTATTTCTGACAATTTCTTAAAGCACACATTTTTTGTTGTTTTACTTCCTTACTTCTCTACTCTGAAACTAGAGAAAAGAGAAAAAGATTGATGTATCTACAGATAAAAAGTAAAAGACCAATAAAGGACTGGGATAGGGAAGAGAGATAAAAGAAATAGCTGCAATAGTAACTCAGGGAACAGAAGATCTTATTCTTTCACTCCAGTATTTAATAGTGCCTTGCATATAAAAGGACTCAGTAAACAGGAGTCTGCTGAATGACAGGAATAAAGGATGAAGAAAAGCATGGACGGAAGAATAGAAAGAAGAGGAAGTGTGCAGAATACACACACAAAATAGCAACTGAATTTTTTTGGTAAATGTTGCATTGGATGCCATGAATTTAAGAAAACAAAATCAAGTCAGCTACTTACCGCTTTAACCATAGCCAGCTTCTCATTTGTAATCTGTTCCGTATACTTTCTATATGCTGCATTTTTAGGAATTTGCTCAAGAACATCAAGAGTCTTTGTGTATAATATTCTTAGCCTCTGTAAAGACAAATCATGCAAATTTCCATTTTAAAATATCACCAAATATTTAATGAAACATTTTCAAAGTGAAACAGGTTAAAAAAGAAAAAAGACTCACAAACCGTTTCTTCAAAAAGCATTAACCTCCTCCTTGCTGTAATTTCTTTGGTTTTATGGTTTATCTCTTTTACAACTTACAAAAGATGAAATTTTTCCTTATTATTCCTTTCTATTTAATTCGAAATTTGTTTAGTTTAATTGTATAAAATTGAGAGGCACTAATACCTAGTTTAATTCATATATATTAACTATATAGATAAATGAATAAACACATCTACTTTGAGGACCTGTAGAAATCATTTTACTTAAAAGCAGTCTGCATATTTAGACAATTATGTATTTGAATATGATTTCCATAATAGAGGGTATTTTACTCTACTAATTTAGAGCTTGTCAGAGAATATATCATCCCAATTGTGTAAGGTTTTTTGAGCCTCTTTTTTTCTTAATTTTAGCAAAAGGTATAATAGAAAGGCCTCTTTCTAAAATTGGGATATTAATAATATTTGCTTCATATGGTATCATATAACTTACAATAGTACCTGGCACATATTTTCAATAAATGTTAGCATTATTATTCTATAGGAGAAGGAGCTACTTCAGCAGATATCAAGGAAGGGGTCACAGAAAAGGCAGCATCTGAGCTAGACTTTGAGGGATGGTAGGACTTGGACAATTAAAGATGTTGGAAAAAGCAATTTATACATAGAATACATGTATAGGATTGAACAGCAGAAAATGCAGGGAACATAAAGTAATCAGTATATTGTTTTATTTCCCTTTACCTGTGTTATCCTATATAGGAGCTACTAGCCAAATCTGGCTATGAAGCACTTGAAATGTGGCTAGTCTAAACTGAGATATGCTATAAGTGTCAACACACACTGGATTTTGAATATTTAGTTATGAAAAGACTACAAAATATCATTAATTTTTATGCTAATTATATATGAGAGTAATATTTTGGATATTTTAGATAAAATAACTTTTACCTTCTTTATTTTAAAAAAGTGACTCCTAGAAAATCTAAAATTACAAATGTGGCTTACATTTATGACTTGTATTATATTTTTATTGGACAGCATATGGCTAGAACATAGAACACATAAGAAACGGTTATGAGATAAGGCTGGAGAAAAACTGAGTCAAACTAAATTGCATGCCAATTTAAAGCATTTGGGATATAGTCTGTGGGCAATGAAAATATTTAAGGAAATTGTATGATTTGATCTGTGCTTCAAGAAAATTAACCAGCAGTAGTGAGTTAAAAGTACTGGGTGGAGAAACAGGCAGAAAGGCCAGTAATAAGGTTGCTGCAATTCTCTAAACGAGAGCAAGGGACTAAACTGTGATAATAATAGTAGGAAAAGAAGAGAGAGGTCTGGAGAGCTGTTACCGAAAAGGATCAACAGAACTCACTACTGGAATGAACATGAAGATACAAGAGAAAGAGAAGTATCAAAAATGATGTACGAATTCACAGCCTGGGGAGTAGAAAGACTCTGATACTCTCAGTAGACATTGAGCCCACAGTGAAAGAAACAGATTTAGAAAGGAAAACCCTGAGTTCGGTTTTAGACAATAATGAATCTAAAGTCATTAAGAACTCATGAGTATACAACATTCACTCAACAAACATTATTTACTGAGCACATACCATGTGCTAGTCATAATTCTAGCAGTGAATAAACAAATAAAAAAATCCCTGCCTTCATGGAAACCTACATTCTAAACAGAGACGAGATAAATGAGTAGAATACACTCTGCTGAAGAGTGACCTGAAGGGCCATAGCAAGGTCTCTTATTTAATGAAATGGAAGACCACAGGAGGGTTTTCCAGGAAAGGAGTGACATGACTTGACTTACTTTTTAGCAGGCTGACTCTAGTTTGATTGAAAAATGACCAAACGGAGGAGGGATAAGAAGGGAGAGGCAATTAGGAAGCAAATGCAATTATCCATTGTAGTGATAATAGTGGCTGAGAACAATGTAGCAGCAGAGGAGGTGGTGAGAAGTAGTGAAAATCAGGATATATTTTGAAGACAGAACGCAGAGGATTTACTGAAGTACCAAATGTGGAGTGTGAGAGGAAGAAAGGAATTGAAGATGATTTCAAGGTTTTTGACCTAGTAATTAGAAGAATGGAACTGCCATTCACTGAGATGAGAAAGAATGAGAAGAGAGTGGGTTTTAGGAAGATCAAGAACCCAATTTTGGACATGTTAAGTTTGGGATGCCTGTCTGACATCCAAGTGGAGATGTCCACAAGCAATAAAATATACAAGAGGTAACTGCTTGATATGGAAATCTAAGAGTTATCAGTGTAAAATGTGGTACTTAAAACCATCAGACTGCATCCAGACACCAAGAGAGCAAATACAGAGAAAAGGTGCAAGAATCAAGTCTTAGCGCTCCAAAATTTAGAAGTGGAGATATGAGAAATAACCAGAAAAAGATAAGGCAAAAAGAGCAGAGGAAAAAATGAACAGACTGGGGTGTCCTGAAGCTTAGTAAAGAAAGTGAATACTTGATGGAGACAGTGTGACAGGTTTCAAATGCTGCCACTGGGTCAATTAAGATGAGAAATGTGAGATGACCATTGGATTTAGCAGCACCGAGATCATGGTGACCTTGAAAAGAAAAGACCAGTCTGGCAAGGCCTGACTGGAGTGGGATCAAAGGAGAATAAAAGAAACTAGAGATAGGTAAGTACAGATAACTCTTTCGAGTTATCTATACAGGGAAGGAGAGAAATGATGTAGCAGTTGGAGGGATGAGAAAGATCAAAGTAAGTTTTTTGTTTTGTTTCTTTTTTTTAGATGAACTCATACCTGAACACTAATTGGGAAAAACATACTAGAAGGGAAAATAGATAACAAAAGGGGCAATTGCTAGAGCGGTATCTTCGGGAAGCCAAAGTGTATAAGGAATCTAGGGAACCTAAGCAGAAACGGTGAGACGGGGGAAAAGGTGGAAAATGGAGATATAGACTTGGGAGGGTACTCACAAAAGTACGGGTGAAGCGACAAGAATGCCAGGGAAAAAGTCACCAAAAAAAGAAACTCAAGAAAAAGGCCATGACACACAGACAGACACCGGATCACAAAGTAGACACCGCTCTCATCTCAAAAGCTCACGCTGAGTTGGAATTCTGGACTGGAAATATCCGTATCGGTTAACCTTTCAACAAACAAGGTGACTGAAAGCTCAGGAACGAAAAAAGAAGAGGTACATACCTCGTGTGGACTCTCACATACAGCCAACCCCACAAGGCCAGTGGTCTGTTGAAAAACAAAACATGATTCGTGCTGTTTACAATTCGGTGCGTCCACCTAGCTAAGGAAAAGCAAAACCACCAATCCTTTGGCTAAAACTGGCCCCAAACCAGCTACGGGTCTCAATGCCGCTTGCGCGGAGCTGCTTCTGCCTCTCCGAGCGCAGCCACCAAACCGACCACCTCTGAGGGCAGAGCCGCACCAGTGCCCAAAGGCCCCGCCAAGCACACGCCAGTTCCGGCCACCACCCGCGGGATGAGGGCCTATCCGGCTGCCTCTACCCCTACAGTCTCAACCCTAGCAGTGACCTCCACTCGGCTCACCTTCTTCAGCAAGCCCGCCATGACAGCGTCCACTCGCCGAGTTCGCGCAGCCCTCTGGGAACCTCGTTCAGACCCGCTCAATCCACCACCGAGGCCGCCGCTCAGTCGCCATGGAAACATCTTGGCTCCTCCCACTCAAGACGGAGCAAAGACTCTACCCCGCCCATGCCCAAAGGGAAAATTGATGCATGCGCAGTGAGTATAAGGCCAGCAAACTAGGCCCTCGGGGAAAGAGGTGTTTATTAAGTGTCTTATATGTAGATTCCTGTTCCTTCCACCCTTGGCGGATTGCCCAAAAGTTGGGGGAAGTACTCCAAGCCACCAAAAACTCCAACGTATTGGTTCCAGGAACCTGCACTCTGCTTCACCTGCCTTCCACAGTGTACTCTGTAATAAAAACGGTGGTCATGGTGCCATCATCTAAGTCAGGGGTCCCCAGTGTTTTTGGCACCAGGGCCCTGGTGCTCCTATGAGAATCTAATGCCTGATGATGTGAGGTGGAGCTGAGGCAGTGATGCTAGTGCTGGGGAGCGCTGGGAAGCTCTGTCTAGGCAGCTGCTCACCTCTTGCTATGCAGCTCTGGTTCTTAACAGGCTAGTAACCTCCAGTGGCCCAAGGGTTGGAGACCCCGATCTAAGTGATCTCTTAGCTGCGAAGGTTAATTTGTACTACAAGGTATTCTCAGTCTTATGAGCCACAGCAGTATACAGGTGCATTTCCCATGCATTTCCTTTCTTTTCCATTTGACTCACTGAGGTACATCATCCTTTTTCTCATTTTCCCAGGCGAAGTGATGTCAAACCATACCACTCTTGTTCTCTTACCTTACCAACATTTATTGAGCACCCATTATGTATTAGTTACTGGAACATAATTTATAAGACAAGATCTACATCCCGGAATTCTCAGAACACGTGCGTTAATAAGTAATTTGGAAAGTGCTGTAAAAGAGGTTTGTGCCAAGTGCAGTGGTAGCAGAAAAGAGGAAATAACTAACCAAAACTCATGGGTGACTGGAATTAAAGTCATTTGCTAAAAAGTCCACAGGAGAAAATTAAAAGAACTCAAAGAAATTCTGTGTGTGTGTATGTGTGTATATATACACATATATGTACATATATATACGTATGTATATATGTGTGTGTGTGTGTGTGTGTGTGTATATATATATATAATATATTGTGTGTGTGTGTGTGTGTGTGTGTGTGTGTGTGTATACTGCCTCATTGCGACCCACTTCAGATTGAACATCACTTAAATAGTAAAACCCACAGGACAGAAAAAGATCTTTGCAACCACATATTGTCACCCAAAGGTAAGTGGTGCCTGATACACAAAGAACTTCTATAAACTTTTTAGAAAAGAACTAATAACCAGAACAAGTGTCCTGCTTCCATTCTTGCCTCCCTCTCTGGAATATATGAAATGAGTTAATATATGTAAAGTGCCTGGGTCAGTGCATGGAACATAGCACCATCACACACTTGATGGTTATTAATTTTTAATTTTGCTATTGTTATTTTCACCCTAGTAGCTAGAATGATACTTTAGAAAGTACTTTGCTCAAATTTTTTCCTTATTTTTCACTTGAGGTGTAAAAGTCAAAGTCCTTACATCTGCCTATAAGGTCCCAACCCCTCAGCCCTCACCTCTCAGACCTAACCTCCTATTCCCCTCTTTCTGCTCAAATGGCTGCTCTTCTAATCCTTTTCTTGGAAAACCCTTCCACCATATAAGCACATAGCTGGCTCTCTCACCTCTTTCAAGTGTTTGTGCAAATATTACCTCCTCAACGTGGCCTGCCCTGGCCGTGAAATTTAAAATTGCGAGTCACTATAAGGACACTCCTAACCCTCGTCTTTGCTTCAGTTTTCTTCACAATCCTTATCACCTTCTAACATGTTATCTAATTATCTTACTAGAATATGAGAGTTATCTAGAATATAAGCCATATGTAGATGGGAATTTTTTTTCCTACTATATCCGAAGTGCCTAAAATAGTACTTTGTACATAATAGGTGTCAATAAATCTATTTTTAGTGAATACAATACAAAAATAAGCAAAATAAGTTAATAGGCAATTGACAAAAATGGAACCAGAAATAGTCAATAAATATCAAAAGGACTCAACCTCCATAATAAATCAAGGAAATGCAACTTAATTAAAATTTTAATGCCATCTTATGGACAAAAATAAAAGACTGACAATACCAAGTGTTAGCAAGGGTGTGGAGCAACAGAAACATTCCGACACTGCTGGCAGGAATGAATTGGTATAATCATTTTGGAAAATAGTTTTACAGTAGTTAGTTGAAAATACCTGTAACCATTATGTGTTGAATTATGTAACCCCCAAGTCATATGTTGAAGTCCTAACCCCCATTACCTCAGAATGTGACCTTAAATAGAAATAGGGTCGTTACAGATGTAATTAGTTAAGGCGAGGTCATTAGAGTAACCCTTGTCCAATATGACCAATGTCCTTATAAAAGAAGAAATTTAGATACAGAGAGATGCACACAGGGAGAATGCCATGCAAAGATGAAGGCAGAGATCAGGATGATGCTTCTATAAGACAAGGAACACCAAAAATTGCCAGAAAAACACTAGCGGTTAGGGGAGAGGCATGGAGCAGATTCTCTCTCTTAGCCCTTAGGAAAAGAATCAACCCTGCTAACACCTTAATCTCAGACTTCTAGCCTTCTAGCCTCCAGACGGGTGACCTAATACTTTTATGCTCTTTAAGCCACTCAGTTTGGAGTGTTTTGTTACAGCAATCCTAAAATCTAATGCTGAGTCATAGGTTAGTTTGATTATACACTCCTCTCTTTCATTAGGATACCTGTCCCTTGAAACATGAGCCATGAGATATAATCTTTCCAGATCCGATTACTCAAGAATTAGGCTTTACCATAACTTTCATCATAATTTTTAACTTCTAGTGTTTAAATCATCCACAGTTACAATTCAAGACAGAGTATATATATTATAACAAATATGCATGTATTAATGGCATTTTAAAGATACACACATACATGTACATGGATGAATAAACATACATAAGTATAAAGAAACTATTAAATTTGAACGAACCATCCGATGCATCCATTTGCTCCTACAAAGGTGACATATTTATTTGGATACACTGGATTAGATTCAGAAAACCACATTAGGATTGGGAGGAAATATCTTTATTTTTCAAGCCAGAAAATGCTGAAATAGTCACTGGAACTTAGATGAATGGAAGTTTATGGAGTCACAGTTTGTTCTCTGTCCCTCCAGATTCTAAGAATTTTCATCATTGTGAGGTGTGTTCTAGAACATAGAATCATGTGATCATAAAAGATGCATGTGTTTTCATTTTGTGTAACTTTGGGTTCAGGCTTCTGCTGTACTGTATTTGCTAAAGACACTATGGCTGACAGACTTAGCTGATCCTGGCTAAGGTATTGCATAGCTAACCAGTTCTATGTCGTGGGAAAATGTGTAGGTTTTCTGAACCAATCCCTTTGCAGAGGTGTGGGGCTATGTATGGAGAGGGCTAGATAGTGGTGTCTTATGGTTGATGACAGTAGAACTAGCCACAAAGAGAAGTCAACCTTGGCATCTGTGATATCAGAAGGAGATTGGGGAATGTCTTAATGTGAGTAGCAGGGCCATCAAATGCACTGTGCTCTCAATTGGAAGAGAGTTCTCTAAGGGATTAATGTTCAAATTGTCCAAAAAGAGATAGATGTTGGGAAGTTCTGTAAATAAAGTTAGCAGGCCAGGAGACTTAGAGCTAAAGTCTGGATCTCATATTTCACACAATTTGCTCTGCAGGTCTTCTAGGCTATCCAGTCAAGGGGTTCTTGTTTCTCCTAAATGAAGGAACTGGAAATGTTAAAACCTCCTACATTGCTTCTTAATAGGGGTTCTTGTTTCTCCTAAATGAAGGAACTGGAAGAGTTAAAACTTCCTACATTGCTTCTTCATGACAGAAGGCTTGTTGTTGTTGTTGTTGTTGTTGTTGTTGTTGTCGAAGAGTTGGATCTTACCAAAGTTAGGCAGTTAAAATGTTTCCCTAGACTATGGCCATGCCACCTTGAACATGCCTGATCTCATCTGATCTCGGAAGCTAAGCAGAGTGGGACCTGGTTAGTACTAGAATAGGAGACCACCTAGGAAGACCAGGTGCTGTAGGTGGGGGAAAAAAAAAATGTTTCCCTGCAATGCGTTGCTCTGGAGCTATGCTGAGGAGCTTTTACCTGAGATGCATCAGACCAAATAACTGAAAAGGAAGAAAGTTTCAGGGCATGAGAGGCTCATTCCTGAAAATCTTGAGGGGACGAGTACTGCCTTGGCCAGTTTCTCTGTAGTTTTCATGATCAGGGAGCAGAGGGGAGAATAATCTTCACTCAGGGATTATTCTTTCCTCTCCCAAATTTGGCAACACATTTTGTTCGTTAGTTTTTAGAATGAACTGATATGTTAAAGTTATAATAGTTTGTGCGTTATCCATCTCTTGTGCTTCCATTCATACCAGGCATGTTCAAAACAAACTGGATTTTTTCCTGTCTTCTCTCTATGCTGCAGATACTTCAAAAAAGTGTCCATAACCAGATTATTATGTGTTTCTGACACGTTGCTTTTTAGAAACTCATTTTTAATTGGACTACGCCTCAGATAAAAGCCATTATCCAGTTTTATCTTACTGATTATAGGTTTCCATATATTTGAGTTATTTAATGTTTAAAATGGGGATATCCACTACTCCGACCCAGATTTGGGTTAAGTTTAACATCGAGGTTAAACATAGGTTTCTCTATCAAAAAACAGAGAAAACCTATGGGAGGATGGAATGATACAGATGCCAGCAGGGGTATATCAAACTCCATTTCTGTGTACCACATGCTACTGCTCCCCATTTGAAAGCAAGAAAGAAAAGAAGTGATGAAAGGCAGGAAATCTGATTAAGAAAATTAAAACTATTTTGCGATTAAAATAAATATTTATTAATATAAATGGTAGTAACAATATTCCATTAAAATGGTGATAAAACAATAATTACTTTTAAAATGAATGCTATAATAGAATTTAGAAATAGGAAGATAAAATAAGTATAAGAAAAAGTTAAAAATGGCAAAAGATATCATAAATGTCAATATTGTTTTTTTAACTAGTCTCATCCAACATAAAATGACAAAATAAGTGAAATAAAATAACAGATAAAATTAGGGGGTGGGCGAGGCAATAGCTAAAGTAGAGAAGGAACTTCAGAAATGTCAGATGAAACATTTTTTAAAAAACTAAAACAGCAGAAAAACTAAAATAATCGTTCATTAAGCAAATGTATATTGATTGCTTACTTTGTATCAATAGTAGGGATATGTCAGTAAACCAATTTGACAGGTCTCAGTCATCAAGGAGTTTTCTTCTAGAGGATGGACACATAGTAAACAACTAAACCAATTAATAAATGAAATTACCAAATGAGATTATTTTCAAAAGAGAATGAGTAATGTGCCATGATAGGCAGGTACCTAGTTAAGAGTGCAAGAAAACATTTCTGAGAAGGTGACATTTATTCTGAGACATGGAGGAAGAGAAACATCCAGTCATACCAAAACTAGCTAACGGGTGTTCCAGGCAAAGGGAACAGTAGAGGCAAAAGTATGAGCAGGAAAAGTGCTGTGACAGGAATGTGGCTGAGGTAGAAGGACAAATAGTAGGGTGACAAGGACCAAGTTGGAAAGATAGTACAATGGGAATGGTTTAAATATGGCATGATATGATCTGATGTACACTTTTAAAAGGCTACTCTAATTGATACTGGGAGAATGGATTAGAGCAGGAAAAGAAAATAAGAAAGATTCTGAGACCATTGCTGTCAGCTGGACAAGAATGATAATCGCTTGAATTAAATTGTTGGCAGTGGAAGTGGTGAGATTCTTTGTGTAATTTGAAAATACAACCAACATGATCTGCAGCTAGATTGGATGTGAGAGGTAACAAAAAGGATAGAATGAAAGAATGGCTCCTAGGTTTCTGGCTTTAGTGACAAGGCATGTAAAACTTCATTCAGAAGAATTAAAAAATATATGAGTTTCAAAAGTTTAAAGTAAACAAATAAATATCACCCAAATCATAGACCAGAGAAAGAAGACAGCAAATCTGAAAAATGAGGTTAAAAAAAAAAAAATACTGGAAGTCATGGCACCTGATATTTAACACCCTCACACAAAGTGAAAGATCTTTGGGCTAAAGCAGCTACCAGCACCAAACAGATATCCCATTTGCTATCTTCCCAAGAATAGGGTTCACTATATGAAGATG